CCCCACCTCACCCCAGCACCACTGACAGCACGCCTATAGACAGCCGCAACGATGACGATGAACTCCCCGGACTCGCTCCTGCAGCTCTACAACCTCGCGAGCAAGCCCGAGCACGGCGCATCGGACCAGCAACCCCTCTACACCGCAGAGCTGATGCGCGAGGTCGGCCTGAAGTGCATCGGCTTCAACGGCGTCCCGCGCACGATCAACTGCCTGGGCGCCTTCTACGCCGGCCTGCCGCACGACGTGCAGTCCGCCCTCGGCAGCAGGCGGCCGCGCCGCAACCTCGACGCCGCCAACATCGACGCCGCCCTGCAGCGCGGCCGCCAGCTCTGGGACTCCATCTACCACCCCTTCACCAGCAAGCTGACCGCGAAGCTCGCTCAGTCGCACCCGGACCTGCCCGTCCACATCGTCGAGAGCGAGTACGGGTGCCTGTTCTCCGATCCGCCGCTGGAGAGCGCGGTGGCGCCACACCCGACGCCCTCGGTCGGGAGGGTGCTGACCTCGGTCGTCGCCGTGGCGTGCCTGCGGTCGCAGACGGGCGTCGGCCCGCAGGTCGTCAGCCATGTATTCGGGCTGAGGAAGGCGTTCGAGGACGGCAGCGCCGAGGGCGAGGACGAGGTCCAGGGGGCAAGGTGGCTGGCCGGCGACGAGGGCAGCATGTGGCTGCTCGACGTCACGGATCGCATCGTCCAGAGCATCGGCCAGGCGCAGGGGACCACCTTCGCGCCTGGCATGCCTGAGAGGGCTAAATTATAGAACTTCTCATATATACACAAACACATTCTGCCGTCTGAGCTCGAGTTGATGAAACATTGTTCTGCTTGTGCCGGTACTAGAGCCAGAAAAATTCGATATTGCTACATGCAGCGTTGCTCGACGACGTTTACGTCTCCAGCCTATCTAGACTTACTATCATGGAAGCCCATAAGTTAAAAATGGCATTGATGGCCAAAGAGCAAAAGAAGATTTGCTGGATGACCGATACCCGATTCGAACGGGTGACCGTCTGGAGATTCGCAGTTAACTGGAATCAGAAACGCTACCACTGCGCCAATCGGCCAACTTGCCTGACAAACTCAAATGATTTATTTATTTAGTACAAATATTTCTCGATACTGCAAATGCGATGTTGACCTACAGCGCTCTTCCGATTGATCCTGATCTCCAGAGAAAATCGACAAGCGTGGAATACTTTGATGATCGCAGACCCTGTAACATGTCATAAGAATTGTAATTCATGCATCGTATTCGTTACCATATAACTTAAAAGGTCTAGTCGACTTCATCTGCAAAACTGGGCTGCTCATGCTGCTCAGTGATGTCCCCCACTCTCGGTTGCTCGCCTGGCATGGCCCTGCTGCGCTCAATCTCCTCCACTTGTTTCCTACCTTCTTCCGTCGTAGCGTCGATGACGCCCTGCTCCATAGACAACATACCACCGTTGCCCAGTTGCTCCACAATCTCCTCGGCCTCGCTTACGGACATCTTGCCCAGCACAACGTTCACCTTGTCGAGAGAGCCTGATTCGAGAGCACGCTGCAGACCAGGAGGGAATGTCTCGAAGATCTGTCGTGCTATTCTTTCATCATCGCTCTGACACTGGTCTAGCGGCACAGGGGTTACAATGTTGATCTTGGTGCCAGGGTCGACGGCGTGTAGCTGAATCTGCTCACGATCGCCATCACCTGCTTCCTCTTGCTCGCGAGCGAGCTCGGCTGTCCGCGAACGGATCCGTGCGTAGGTTCTGTGGACATCATCGAGGAAAAGCTTTCTCGCCTGGTGTTCTGGTGTCTGAATGCGTTTGAAGAAGAGCTGCACTCCATCTCTGCCGAGCTGTCGGCAGTATTGAAGCAACAGCGCCTTTTCAACGCACTGTCTCGCATACTCGGAATCGCCATGTGCTTGGGCTGGTGGGCAATCTGCTGCACTCGCGCGAGACTGGGCGTTGAAGGCTTCGACTAGCAGACCGTCGGACTCTGACTCCTTCAGTATCTGCGAATTCTGGCCAATGAACTGCAAGCTGGCCTTGTAGTCACCGAACTTGATCTTGCCGAACGCCTTTGCTGCGGCCGAGGCTTGTATGTCATCGTCCTCGCCCGGCGCTTCATCCTCGTCGCCATCCTCTATATCTGCAGCTGAACCTGACGTCTCACCTCCAGGTGTTTCAGGCGTAGGGCGGTTAGGATTCAGCAATTCCGGGCCAGATCCAGATACCATTGGAGCAGGCTTGCCAGCGGGTGCTGCGGTTCCGGTCTTTGAGACAAACGAGCTGTCAAAGCCTGTGTGTATACTTTCGCTCGTGATCTTTGCACCGTCTTCCTTTTCCAGCCTCGTCAGTTCTTTCATGAGTTCAATCTGCAAGCCCTGCACCTTCTTGTAATGTGTGCCTGCTTCGCGGATGTAAGCTTCGTATCTGGCTGTGCCCTCTGCCTTGCTCTTGTCGATTTCAGCCTTGACTTGGTCGACAAGGGCACCCATCATCTTGCTATAGCTCGGCTGCTGTTCCTGGCTATGTACCCCTTCAGGCGGGCTAGGAGGCTGATCATTTCCTAGGCTTTCGTCACTGTTTACGTCCAGTAGAGAATCAAACACCACTTCATCCACATCAGATGATGCAGGTTTGCCTTCCACATCCTTGCGGTGTCCCTCTAGGCTCTTTACCAGCGCGTCAATACGGCTCAACAATCCGTCATTGATGACTTTCTCGTATCTCAATGTAGTAATGCGGTGTTTTCTGTCGAAACGCTGCTGGTGGATTTGGTTCTGCTTCGCCCTGATGAAGGATCGCTTGTCAACATTTGGGTGCACTTCAACGTCGCTGTCGTCGGAGAGCTCAAGAGCATCCCACTTGCTATAATCAACCGGCATGTTGTCGATCTGGTGCAGGTGTATAGGTGAAAAAGCGAGGTAACAACGTTGTGCCCAGGAGGGTTTCTTGTTTTGTTCTCTGTATTGTTAGGGTATGCAGTGGTAGCTTCCAGAAAAACCAGGCTACCGAGCCTCAGAGCCCCACCAAGGCAGCCCCCGCGCGAGTATGTGTGGTGGCTGGGCTCGCATGAGTAATGCATCAAATCTGCCATCAAATTGCCCTGGATTTGATTAGGAACGCCCCTCCATAGAGTATTCGGAGCGAGTGTCCGCACGTCATAAGTCCGATTCTCGTAGTCTAGAAACATTCTCGAGAATTTCTAAGCAGCCCTTTTTCAAATGCAATTTATAGCAACTCACACACCTTTGACCCCTCGAAAGTCGCAGCGTCCTCGGCTCCAGGATTCTTTATGTTCTTTGACAAATCAGCTAATTCGCGCACATCTACAACATGAGTGGCAGGGACGTCCCAATGGAGGACGACTTGCGAGACGAGCATGAAGAAGCGATGATTGGTGATGATGAGGCCGAAGAGGTGGTACAACAAGACGGCGATGCGGCTATGGATTCAGGAGAGGAGGATGATGGTCCACTCGAGGAGATCGCGCTGATCAACGATAGCATAGCGCATTTCGACGGGCACAAGGACTCGATCTTCTGTATCGCACAGCACCCGACAAATCCAAATCTCATCTTGACTGGTGGAGGCGACGATACAGCGTTTCTGTGGGACTCTACACCACCTGATGGGCCACTGCTGCCACAGAGTTACGAGAGCAATCCTCAACCTCGAGAACGCAAGAGCCAGAACATCGTTGCAACACTTGGTGAGCAGGACGAGAGTGTCAACGCCGTGGCCTTCACTCTGCCAAAGGGCGAGTTTGCTGTCACTGCGACACTAGCTGGCAAGGTAAACGTTTATTCCACATCTGCACCAAATGTCGGAAAATTGGTCGCAAGTGCAAAGGAAGTCGAGGAGATCAACTGGTTACAGCCCTCTCCCAATCCTGCATATCCAAACTCTTTCGCGTTCGGTGCTTCAGATGGCAGTGTCTGGGTGTATACTATTGAACCTGCCACTTCTCAGCTCACGATTGTGCAAACCTTCTTCCTGCACCAAGGCGCTTGTACAGCTGGATCATGGACTCCAGATGGGAAGCTTTTGTGTACAGTGAGTGATGACAGCAGTCTCTACGTGTGGGATGCCTTCGGCGATGCAGCAGCAGCCGGGCTAGCAGACGCCACTTCGGGAAGTCAGGCTGTAGTTGGCCTGACTGCAGACGACGAGCGCTTCAAGATCGATGGTGGCCTGTACAGTGTTGCCGTTTCGCCAGGCGGAGGTATCGTTGCGGTTGGTGGAGCAGAAGGCCAGATTCGGATTGTCGGCTTGCCACGCCTGTCTTTGCCAGCGGGATCAACATCAGTCACTTCAGGTGTCAAGGGCGGCGGTGCGCGCTCGAAAGCAGGAGGTGGGAAGCAAGCTGCAGCGCCAGGGTCTGGCGGCAAAGCCTCAGCTGGACAAGCAGGTCAGATCCTTGCTTCATTACAGGCCCAGAGCGATGGTGTTGAGACACTGGACTTTTCACAGCCACCTTTGACCCTGCTGGCTGCCGGCTCAGTCGACGGAAGTATTGCGCTTTTCGACGCTGCACACAACTTCGCCGTTAGACGGCATATCAAGTATGCCCATACCGATGATCCTGAAACCCCAGAGGCCGTTATCAGAGTTGAATTCGTCAAGTCAACGCCAGGTGGTGCCGGAGCAAGCCAGGGAACAGAGGCCGGTCGCAACTGGCTCCTTACCTCCTGCGGTAATGACGGTGTGGTTCGCCGATGGGACGTAAGAGGTGGAACTGCTGCAGCCGCAAAGGGGCTCGTCGGGGAGTGGAGGGGGCACAGAGGCGGTGGTGAGGGCGGTGGAATTCTTGCGTTAGTGCAGGGTGCTGGAGGTCGAAGAATCGTAACCGCTGGCGACGACGGCGTGAGCTTGGTTTTTAATGGCGAGTGATGGCAATCGTTGTTTTGTACATCATTTACAATGAACTAGTCGCCGTCGTGATGGAACGATCTCATGCAGCCCTAACCTTTTAGTCATGTGGTTCCACAATCCTGAATTTCGGAAGTCCTACCTAGAGACACAGAGGCAGAGCTATGATGCTACACTCAAGTGCCTCTAACAACCTCATGCGCATCGCAAAGCAGCCCTGCTCAAGATCGCAGTCTGGATCACGAATCGAGTGGATCCATAAGAGTTCCCAGTGGAGGATGTTTACGTTAGACTAGAGCTGAACATACGGTAGCACAGATCTTGGAGACCGGTGACTACTATCTGAATAACTACATCCAGCGATTGATGACGACCATAAATAGACAATAGCAGACAATACGCTCATGATTTAGAAGGAAACAAGGCTAACCAGCAGTAAGCTAGAGAGGAGAATGAAGTCATTCAGAGATATGGAAGATTATGCCTTGTATATTTCATCACAATCCTCGTCACGGCGAGCATTGTATTTGCTTTCATACTTCTTTGATGTATTTCGCGGCGCTGAGGTCAACTACAACCACCCGCCATCAATGTCTTTAGCCTCAACTAGAGAACGCTTCAACTCAAATACTTCCAAAGCTGCGGCGTCTTATATCCAAAGTCTATGTCGATAAGCTTGCAACCAGCAGTCCTGCGGAGGTTGTGTATTTTCCTACCCATTCTGAAGAGCCGGTACTGTGTCTGCTTCCAGATCGCCGCCCTCTTGATCTGTGCTTCTATCGTGCTGTCAACAACAATGCCGAAAGACCGTCTCTTGTCATCGACAGAGTCAACTGACGAGTTTTCACATCTCCTCTCATACTCTTGGAGGTGCTCCACTAGATCTGTCGTGAATTCATCCAATCTAGCAGAGCCTTGTCTGTCCACAGACGACACGCCAGGTAACGTTGGGAACCAACCCTGTGACAAATTGAGATACGTGATTTCTTTCCAAGTTGTGGTCAGAATCGAAACCGCTGGTGAGATTTCTGCGTCAGTACGCGGCTGTATCTGGTTGAAATCAGCGAGGTGAGCAGTAGGCGTCGTTGTCTGCGCCAATGCCCCAGCCCAATCTGCGCAGCCTTCCAAATCCAACCACTTCAAGCGTAAGAGGTTGCCACTGAGTTGGCGTAGAAGCGCTATTGGCTCAGTATACTCCTCATCCA